TGTATCCTTTTCTTTAGGTACACAGTGAAAACAAAGTTATGTTACTCAAGAAACCTGATTTTACTTCAGTAAGATATTTTATTTGTATCCTTTTCTTTAGGTACACAGTGAAAACAAAGTTATGCTACTCAAGAAACCTGATTTTCTTCAGTAAAATGTCTTCATACTTTTGTTTGTATCCTTGTCTCAAGGTTCACTGTGAAAACAAAGTTATGTTACTCAAGAAACCTGATTTTCTTCAGTAAAATGTCTTCATACTTTTGTTTGTATCCTTGTCTCAAGGTTCATTGTGAAAACAAAGTTATGCTACTCAAGAAACCTGATTTTCTTCAGTAAAATGTTTTATTTGTATCCTTTCTTTAGGTACACTGTGAAAACAAAGTTATATTACTCAAGAATCCTGATTTTCTTCAGTAAAATGTCTTCATACCTATGTTTGTATGGTTTTGTTTACGTACACTGCCCAATACACTGTGAAACCAAAGCTATGTTATACTAAAGAAACCAGTTTTTTTTCCAGTAAAATGTCTTCACACCCCTGTTTATATAAATTTTCGGTTTAGTTCTTTTATTTCTCAAAACCAAATGAAAAACAAAAACAGCGTCAAATTGTGGATAAGACAGATGTTCTTATGTATGAATGGAATATATAAACTTCGTTTTCCGACAAATGATTTGTGTCTCTCTTTTAAGTTAAGTGAAACATGTTGTACGAAACACATTTATCTAAGGACCAAAAGAAATAATTAGACTTAACTAGTAGTAATAAGGTTGAAGTATACGTTTAATATACATAACTCACCGCATCTGTGTTAATAAGAACGAGGTATTATCTAAAAGACTAGCAAATATTGGCTCAATTTGCAATGTGCTTTAATGTGTTTAATTTTAACAATAATCAACCTGTTACTTGTTACACCATTGTTAGCTAAGAACATGCGTTTCACCACATATAGGATATCAAGAACTGTTACTTGTTAAACCATTGTTAGCTAAGAACATACGTCTTCACCACATATAGGATAGCAAAAAATGTTACTTGTTAAACCATTGTTAGCTAAGAACATACGTCTTCACCCCATATAGGATAGCAAAAAAATGTTACTTGTTAAACCATTGTTAGCTAAGAACATACGTCTTCACCACATATAGGATAGCAAAAAATGTTACTTGTTAAACCATTGTTAGCTAAGAACATACGGCTTCACCACATATAGGATGGCAAGAACTGTTACTTGTTAAACCATTGTTAGCTAAGAACATACGTCTTCACCACATATAGGATATCAAGAACTGTTACTTGTTAAACCATTGTTAGCTAACAACATACGTCTTCACCACACATATAGGATGGCAAGAACTGTTACTTGTTAAACCATTGTTAGCTAAAAACATACGGCTTCACCACATATAGGATGGCAAGAACTGTTACTTGTTAAACCATTGTTAGCTAAGAACATACGGCTTCACCACATATAGGATGGCAAGAACTGTTACTTGTTAAACCATTGTTAGCTAAGAACATACGGCTTCACCACATATAGGATGGCAAGAACTGTTACTTGTTAAACCATTGTTAGCTAAGAACATACGACTTCACCACACGTATAGGATGGCAAGAACTGTTACTTGTTAAACCATTGTTAGCTAAGAACATACGTCTTCACCACATATAGGATAGCAAAAAATGTTACTTGTTAAACCATTGTTAGCTAAGAACATACGGCTTCACCACATATAAGATGGCAAGAACTGTTACTTGTTAAACCATTGTTAGCTAAGAACATACGTCTTCACCACATATAGGATGGCAAGAACTGATATTGTTATAGTTTTGCCTCCGGTGGCTCAGCTGCAAGTTTGTAGGCTTAAACCCTAACAATCGGGTTTCGATACCCGCAGTAGACATAGCACAGATAGCTCATTTTGTAACTTTGTGCTTAAAACAATAAAACAAAGAAAGTTATAAGTTTCTTATTTTGAATTTGTCAGCTCAGGAAATTTACCTTTAACACGTATAAGGGTAACAATAGCTGGTCTTGTTACTGGTTTGTTGTTATTTAGTTGTTCGTTTGTTTTAGTGTAAAACAACACAATAAGGCAGCTGTGCTGTATCAGCCACGGAGAATCGAACCGCGGATTTTAGCATTGTAAGTGCGTTAAATTGCCCACTCTAGAATATTTTTACTTGTTACCTCGGGCCCTACAACTTAAACAGGTACAAGGGAAACAAGAACCGATATTATTATAGGTTTACTACTTTTATCTGTTAGCCAAGAACCTACACATTGTACTTTTGAACAATGTATATTCCAGATGAAATTTTCGAAGCTTGACTGTAACAACGCGTTATTATTCCAGAAGAAATATCCCATTCTCGACTTTAACACTACATTATTATTCTAGAATAAATGTTCCACGCCTGAACATAACAATAAACTATTATTCCAGATGAAATGTTCCATGCCTGACCATAACAATAAACTATTATTCCAAATGAAATGTTCCATGCCTGACCATAACAATAAACTATTATTCCAGATGAAATGTTCCATGCCTGACCATAATAATAAACTATTATTCCAGATGAAATGTTCAATGCCTGACCATAACAATAAGTTATTACAGATGAAATGTTCCTGCCTGACCATAACAATAAACTATAATTCCAGGTGAAATGTTCCATGCCTGACCATAACAATAAGTTATTACAGATGAAATGGTCCATGCCTGACCATAACAATAAACTATTATTCCAGATGAAATGTTCCATGCCTGACCATAACAATAAACTATTATTACAGATGAAATGTTCCATGCCTGACCATAATAATAAACTATTATTCCAGATGAATTGATTATTTCTTACTTTCCATCATGAAGTCTGATTCAATAATACTGTTTTTCTCATTTTATAGATCACCTATCGAGTTTTTGTTCACGGAGATAACCACACCACCCCCCTTATTATACCACGTCATCACGTACTACAATGTTTCGGGTTACAAATTGTTATTCATGAACTAGGAAATGAGTTTCGTATAAAATAAATCAAGTTTATAATTATTCGCATATATCATTCTAACGAGGAAGACTCTTCTTTTTGCTCTGTGTGATAGTATTATACATTTCTTGGACTGATAGGCGACGTAGATAATGTGCAGTACATCTTATCTGCTTTCGTCATTAATTATCACTTTGGTGATTGTCTAGTTATACTTCATCTCCCCGCTGTGACATCTAGTGTTTTAAAGTTTAGAAAAATATTCTTGTAGAAAGAAAATTACGTACTAACAATTTGGAAATCTGGAACACTGAATCAGAGATGAGAATATTGAAATCCTGAATTTTAATAAATTAAAAAATTAAAATCACAAGAAACTCTAACTAGAAGCTAAATTCATGGCCATAAAATATCTAATTATGTTAGACATTTCCTAGAGCAAGTAATAATTACAGGCTTTGGTTATTCATCGTGTGATGGAGTTACAAGTCAACTCGAAATGGTTTATTTTCATATTGGTTTTCAAGGATCTTTCATTCATAGACGAACGTGAGTAAAGTACTTTCAATCACACTCAGGAAAATGAAATCGATAACGTGGTTTCTGAAGATAGGAGACTTATGTATCTGATGCAGTAACTCGAATTAATAACATAGTTTCAGAATATACGAGACATTAATATCTGTTGCAACAAATAAGTTTCTTGCATCAAATTTTATTACCTTTAATAACAAATAACAAATATTAAAATATTTCTAACTAAACTAATTAATAATGCTACTCTTCTCGGGACGGTCTCCCGGTGGGTCAGCAAGAAATTTACGGACATACAACGCTGAAATATGAGGTTTGATTCCCGCGGTGTAAAAGACTGTAAGATGGTCCATTGTGTAGCTTTTCGCTAAAGTGAATAAACAAATATTGTCAAGAAGACACTGAACACGTTTCCTATTGCTTCTTACTTCTATTCAAGATTTTGTGTTAGTTTTCTCAATCGTTAATACTTTACGATAATATTGTGTTAGTTTCCCATCGTTAATATTTTACGTTAAATAGTTTTAAAATTATAAAGGTTTTTTTTACTCTGTGTTTTTGTCTAGTTTCAGTTTAATACAATGGTGTTATCTGTGTTAAATATTGTGTTTTATACTGTGTTGTTAATGTCAAATAGTTTTATTCGGTGGGATATATACTCGAATCCCTTCTGTTTAACATCATTTTATTTTCTATGTTCGATTTTTGTTGAATTTAACATGACTACATTACAGGTCAGCGTCATTCATTTTGTTTTTGTTAGGTTTTGAAATTAATATTTCTTCTACTTAACACAAGCTGTTGACTGTAATAAACTCTATAATTAGTTATGTGCAGTATACGTGATTAGTTCCTGTACCTAGGTAACAGTTAGGTAGTTCTTATTGTCACAATATATTTTATGGTTATGTGCAGTATACTGTTACCTAGGTACAGGAACTAATCACGTTAGGTAGTTCTAATTGTCACAATATATTTTATGGTTATGTGCAGTACATTGTTATCTAGGTACAGGAACTAATCACGTTTAATCTAATTGTCACAATCGCATTTTTTCATTTAAATTTTACAAACAAAATGCTATCTTCACGAAATTATCGTAATCAAGTATCTATAAACAGGTTCAAAATATTAAAGACAATGAACTCATATGTATCTCGAACTGGAAGATATAAGTTATCGTGAAAAATGATATTGGATAAAAAGATCTATTTTCAGACTAAATCTCAATTCTAAAAGAAAATCTTGTTTTTTTAAAGATTCCCTCCGAACCTAGCAACATGTTCATTATTTGTAGTCATGCTACCTGAGAAGGGGGGAATCACACTCATGAATAGAATACCAAAACAACGCGCAGTCGCAAAACACTTCGATCTGGTACCTATATTTTCTATTTTGTTCCCTCCGTTATTTACCCACCGTTACTCCCTCCCGATTTCATTTTCTTCTTTCTTTGGTTCAGGTAACTCCAAGCTCGTGCCCTGTAGGGAATGTGGTCACTCTGACAACGACAGGAGCGATGAAGACAAGCTTATTGTTAGGTACAACAATTGTAAACTTATACAGAACTATGAGGTTCATTCTGTTGCTAGTGGCAACAGACTTGACGGTTCAAGGTGAGGTTTTTTTCTACGTGTATATTTTTTCTGCCACAAAACTGTTTAAACGTTCAAGTCAGTAGATTTATAACATCTCATTACATAGTAACACCTTATCTCCTGACATGTTAGATATTATCACCTCAATTGTCCACATTATTCATCGTTTCTTTATAGTATTCTATAAATCTGACACTTTGATAATGAAGAGTAAAATGTCAAACATGCTTGTAACACCAAAACTACAACAGTTTCAAAAATATCACTAGTATTACAGCATTACACGAGTATTACAAGATGCTGTCAAAATCAGTAAACTAGAATAGTAGATCTCTTCAAGATGTTGTCAGAATCTATAAATAAAATACTAGATTATCTCACAATGCTGTCAGAACCTCTAAAGTAAAAAACTACGTGTTCTCCCAATGTTTTTAGAATCTGTAAATTAGAACACTGGATATTCTCAAAATGATTTCATAATTTGTAAACAATAATATTTGATCTTCTCAAAATGCTGTTAAAATCTGTAAACTAGGAAACTAGAGCGTTTCAAAATATTGTCAGAATCAGTAGACAAACAGAGAATAAGATGAGTGGCATACAATCTGGATTAGAGTAACACTAAGTTAGAAGCCAGAGTAAAGAAAACAAGAAGTACCAGGTACCTTAACAATAAAATAACCTGATTAAGATATGCTGTCCTTGTGCTATTAAACCACTTAGGATTAATTATTAATTATTTACTACCTTATATATATATATATATATATATATACACACTACAAGTACTGCTAGAAATTAACTACTAATTAATTTTGACTCTACGATTTGGCTACTGATCTGCTGCCATCTTAAAATATGCCCTTAACGATTCAAAGTGCAGTAACTGGGATAGGATCTTGAATCTTCTTGATAAAAATTTTGGTGGGTTATATACTCGTATCTGATTTCACCATTAGGTAACCACTACAAGACAGCTGCTACAAAAAATCAAATCTACTAAAACAGCTAACAGAAGGGAAATAATTTAAAAATTCCAGAAGAATCATCAAACATATTGGTACACAAACAATCATATAAGTAAAAGAACACCAAAAAATTACTTTAATAATAATTACTAGTACAGAACTACATTACCTTACTAAAACCTACAAGAACTCCAAAACATTACCTTACTAATAACTACTTGTACAGAACAACATTACTTTAATACAAACTACAAAAACACCACAACATTATCTTACAAATAACTACTACTACAGAAAAACATTACTTTACTAAATACTACAAGAACACAACAGCATTACGTTACTAATGACTATAAGAACATCACAACATTATCTAACAAGTAACTACTAGTACACCACAACATTACCTTACTAAAAACAACAAGAACTCCAAAACATTACTTTACTAATAACTACTTGTACAGAACAACATTACTTTAATAAAAACTACAAGACCACCACAACATTACCTTACTAACAACTACAAGAACACCACAACATTACCTTAGTAATAACTACAAGAACACCACAACATTACCATATTAATAACTACTACTACAAAGTAACATTACCTTACTAACAACTACAAAAACACCATAACATTACTTTACTAATAACTACAAGAACACCACAACATTGCCATACTAAAAACTACTACTACAAAGTAACATTACCTTACAAACAACTACAAGAACACCACAACATTATCTAACAAATAGCTACTAGTACACCACAACATTACCTTACTAACAACTATAAGGACACCACAATATTATCTTACAAATAACTACTACTGTAGAGTAACATTACTTTACTAAAAACTACGAGAAACCCACAATAATATCTTACTATAAACTACAAGAACACTACAACATTACTTTACTAATAACTAAGAGAACCCCACAACATTACCTTACTAATGACTACAAAAACACCACAACATTACCTTACTAAAAACTATAAGAACATTACAACACTACTTTACTAATAACTAAGAGAACCCCACAACATTACCTTATTAAAAACTACAAGAACGCCACAACATTACTTTACTAAAAACTACAAGAAATCACAACTTTACCTTACTAATAGCTACTAGCACACCACAACATTACCTTACTAATAACTACAAGAACACCACAACATTACCTTACTAATAATTACTTGTACAGAACAACATTACTTTACAAATAACTACCAGTACAGAGCAACATTATCTTACTAATAACTACAAGAACACCAGAACTTTCCCTTACTAATAACCACTAGTACACCACAATATTACCTTACTAATAAGTACAAGAACACCACAACATTGCCTTACTAATAACTACAAGAACACAACAACATTACGTTACTAACAACTACATGAACACCACAATATTACCCTACTAATAACTACTATAACACCACAACATTACTTCACTGATAAATACTAGAACACCACAACTTTACCTTACAAATAACTACCAGTACAGAGCAACATTATCTTACTAATAACTACAAGAACACCACAACATTAACCTACAAATAACTACTACTGCAGAGTAGTATTACCTTACTAATAACTAATAGTACCGAAAAACATTACCTTACTAATAACTACTAGTACCTAAAAACATTACATTACTAATAACTACTGGTACCTAAAAACATTACCTTACTAATAACTACTTGTACAGAACAACATTACTTTAATAAAAACTACAAAAACACCAAACATTACCTTAATAACAACAACAAGAACACCACAACATTATCTTACTAATAACTTCTAGTACAGAGTAACATTACCTTACTAATAACTATTAGTACAGAGTAACATTACCTTACTAATAACTACAAGAATACCACAACATTACATTACTAACAACACCTACAAGAACACCACAACATTATCCTACTAATAACTACAAGAACTACACAATATTACCTTAATACTAACTATAAAAACACCACAACATTACGTTACTAATGACTACAAGAACACCACAATATTACCTTAATAATAACTACAAGAACACCACAACATTACCTTACTAATAACTACAAGAATACCACAACACTACCTTACTAAAAACTAAAAGAACACCACAATATCACCTTAATAATAACTACAAGAACACCACAACATTACCTTACTAATAACTACAAGAATACCACAACACTACTTTAATAATAACTACAAGAATACCACAACATTACATTACTAACAACTACTATAAAAACACCACAACATTATCCTACTAATAACTACACAACATTACCTTTCTAAAAACTACAAGAACTCCACAACATTACCTTACTAACAACTACAAGAACACCACAACATTACCTTACAAATAACTACTAGAACACCATAACATTATATTACTAACAACTACAAGAACACCACAACATTACCTTACTAATAACTACAAGAACTACACAACATTACCTTACTAAAAACTACAAGAACACCACAATATTACCTTAATAATAACTTTTAGAATATCAAAACATTACCTTACTAATAACAAGAACACCACGACATTACCATACTAACAACTACTAGTACAGAGTAAAATTGCCTTACTAATAACTACTAGTACAGAGTAAGATTGCCTTACTAATTACTACAAGAAAACCACAACATAACCATACTGATGTCTACAAAAACACCACAACATTATCTTACTAATGACTACAAGAACACCACAACATTATCTTACAAGTAACTATTACTACAGAATAACATTACTTTACTAAAAACTACAAGAACACCCCAACATTACTTTACTAAAAACTACAAGAACATCCCAACATTACTTTACCAAAAACTACATTACCTTACTAATAACTAAAAGAACCCCACAACATTACCTTACCAAAAACTACAAGAAAACCACAACATTACCTTGCTAATAACTAAAAGAACCACACAACATTACCTTACTATAAACTACAAGAACACTACAACATTACCTTATTAATAACTACTAGTACAGAACAGCATTACCTTACTAATAACTACAAGAACATCAAAACATTACCTTACTAAAAACTACAAGAACGCCAAAACTTTATTTTACTATTAACTACTAGTAAACCACAACATTACCTTAATAATAACTACAAGAAAACCACAACATTGCCTTACTAATAATTACTAGTACAGAAAAGCATTACCTTAATAAAAACTACAAGAACACCAAAACATTACTTTATTAAAATTACAAGAACACCAAAACATTACCTTACTAACAACTACAAAGACACCACAACATTATCTTACAAGTAACTGTTACTACAGAATAACATTACTTTACTAAAAACTACAAGAACACCCCAACATTACTTTACCAAAAACTACATTACCTTACTAATAGCTAAAAGAACCCCACAACATTACGTTACTATAAACTACAAGAACACGACAACATTACCTTAATAATGACTACAAGAACACCACAACATTACCTTACTAATGATTACAAGAATACCACAACATTACCTTACTAAACCTACAAGAACACCACAACATTACCTTACTAAAAACTACAAGAAAACCACAACATTACCTTGCTAATAACTAAAAGAACGCCACAACATTACCTCACTATAAACTACAAGAACACCATAACATTACCTTAATAATAACTACAAGAACACCACAACATTACCTTACTATAAACTACAATAACACCACAACATTACCATACTAATAACTACTAGTACAGAGTAACATTACCTTACTAATAACTACTAGTACAGAAAAACATTACCTTACTAAAAACTACAAGAACACCACAACATTACATTTCTTATAACTGCAACAAACCACAACATTATCCTACTAATAACTACTAGTATAGCACAACATTACCTTACTAAAAACTAACAGAACACCACAACATTACCGTACTAAAAACTAAGAGAACACCACAACATTACCTTACTAATAACTACAAGAACACCACAACATTATCTTACTAATAACTAGAAGAACACCACAACATTATCCTACTAATA